AGGTAGGGAATGGGCTGTGAATAGTATAACGACGTCTTTACGTTTTGCCTCACCAAATTTATTTAACTCTTCTCGTATACGTTCAGCAAAAGTTTTAATTAGCAAGGGATGAGTCGACCAGCGATCAATTATACTGAATTTTATATTTTTTGGAAGGGAACTAGAAATCAAATACATTATGTTTCAAATTAAAGAAGCAATCACAGAGTACAAACTGTTGTCGATAATGCGAAAAAATCGAATTAAAGCTTGAACCAGAAGTTGCGCAGCTATATTGGGGATACTGGGAAAAGAACACGACTCTTTCGGGGCCATCGCTGAAAAGAAAAAAGGTATTTAGAAACTTTTAAATAATATATCTTGTGTTTATACTTTTCAATGTGCTGTAAAGTGTCCTCAGTGAGTGGATTAACATATCGAAAGCCCACATAATGTTTATGAGGAGCACTTTCAGGGCATTTTCGATCAAGTTCGTTGCACATTAATTGGCCTTGCAGATCTGTCCATTTGAGTATGGGTGATCCACCGCCAATTTCTTTATACTTTTTTTGTACTTCTTTCGTTCGTCTTTGAGCAATCCAAGGACCTAGCCGACTTTGCACTGGCAGTTGAATCATATCTCGATCTGTCATAATTCTCAAGAGGTAATCATGTACTTGATCTGTATGTTGAGGACCACCCATATTTAGCATAAGTATTGCAGTTTTTGGTTTAACAATCGTGGAGTTAAACCGCAACGATACAGAAGTACCAACCGTTTTTAAAGCACCTGGGAATGTAATGGAAATTAGGAATATTCATTCTAAATTATTTATTTTTCACTGTAAACAGGCAAATGTACAACTTCTATAAAAAGTTCTATTCTTGTGCAACATTTTTCGCAGGTTTATACATACAATTTACTTACTTGACAACAAACTACTTCGGTGTAACATGTTTTCACTATTTTTTAATCTTTAATTAAGTAAATAGTAAGTATTTTAAGATTTACCGGACAAATATATTTTTATTATTTTACAATGAAAGGCAAATATTGCTATTTTCCTTTTCTGCTTCTTCTTCCCAGAAATGACAATCCAAATGGAAATTTGATGTTGCCAGATGTATAAAAATAATTGGGGAAAGTTTGAGTCGGTAAATCTTATCTCTTATTTTGTTGCAGTTATAAAAGTTTTTCAAAACCATTTTTTATTACAAAAACTTATCAACACGTTATTTTTAAAACTGCTTCATAACATAACTCATAACATAAAACTTCTTGTTTTATTATTGAAAATTTGAAAAACAGCTGTCAGTGTTGCTTTTTTTTCATTTACAGTCTAGTCTCTATTTGAGACTACTTTGTATTCAATAAAGAGAGAGAGCGTTAGATTCAAAATATTGCCTTAAATTTGAAACCTGGTAGTTAGCAGGTCACAAAACTAAAATTAACTCTTACTTGCCATTTTAAATATATTGAATAGAGATCATCATAGTTATTAATCGATTGTAGTTTTTTATATTTTGTAAGCAACTCAAACATGAAAAGGTTGTTGATAATTATGTTTTTTGATTACGGTATAGAAAATCTCAAATGAACAATACTGAAATGTAATAGATTCTGTGACTGCCACTCACAGAATAGCAAAAATGTCTTAAGTCTCAAAAATTGTCTCTAACCTAAAATCTCAAATTTAGAGAATTGAGACTGTATAACAGTACAGAATGGCACGATAATACTGGACATTTTTAACAATGTTGCCAACAAAAATGCAAATAACTCTCTAAAATTTTGAGGATTAAATGGAAGTTAACAACGGAGTTATCTTCACTATCTCCTGAATTAATCCGGATTAACTGCATTAACCGCTTTTTGAGTCGTTCTGGTACACCAACTTTGTCGAATTTTATTTGGTGGATACATAGCGCTCAGACTCCTTGTAGTGATAAATGATAACATACACATATAAGGTACCAAAGAATAAAATCGATAGAAAAGGTATGCAATTGTATTTCCAATGTTAATTGATGGAGGTTGCCTTATAATACCAACTGCCCTCTGCTCTATCAGTTATGACAAGTCTCTTCCAAAAGAAACTAAGTTCTCCGGCTTGTTTTCAATCAACATAACTTTTCTAATTAACGATGATAACAATTGAATTGATTTGATGGCAATTGAATCGAATTCTTACTGTATATGTAATAATATTGATGTGATCGTTTAAGTATTGGTGACGAATAAGCTTTACTCTGAATTATTGATGTCTGATCCATTAAGACTAGTTAGAACACGAATATCTCAACATTTTGTAGGTTTAGCTGAATAGACGCATAAGCTATTGACTACCTGAATTTAAATAAAGTATTATGAATTCATTTATTTATGTATATTTCAATGCCGATTTAGATGATCACATAGCATCCCTCTAAAATAATTTACTGTGACTATTAAATGCGCTTACTCAATTGATATATTATTTATTAAAAAAATTTTAACAAATATAATGGTGGTTGTTAATGGTGTAACATTATACAATATGTTAAGCAATTCACACCTAAACTTACTAAAACTGCTTTAATGTAGGCCGATACTGATTTTCGAGAGTGTGAAAATCCCAATATTCGTTATATGGGACTGCAATTTTAGAAATTAATTTACTACGAGTTCCTTAAATTGTATAATATTGTATATATTGGTTTTTTAATATTGTAATCAATTATCAATTCCCAGCACAAAAACGCAGGTGAGGTTCAATATGGTGTCGTGTTTTAAATAGGAGTTTTTGTGTTTCTTTAAACTCGTTTTAAGCATTATATTCAAATTAATTTTAAATTGCAATGGGATTTCAAATTTATAAATTATAACATTTATCAAATAATGCCTGAAATAACTCCAGTGGTCTAGTTTACCAACTGCAGTTATCCAATTTTATCAAAATCACACTCACTTTTCACGGTCTTATATACCATTCGTAAAAATGAATTTTATGGCTCTGATTTATAGCTCTTTCTGCGTTTGGAAAACGCATTTACGTTAATTTATTATCTACATCTATTATCCTGCATCTATCTTGAATACTTGTATAACTAGTATATTCATGGGAAATTATTGCCCTATAATATTACTAAAATTTATTCTTATAGCCCTAATGATCATTACATACATACATCTACTACGATTGCAAAGCCTACATTCTTGAAGTGGAAGCTGTTTAATTTAATTATTCGTAATTCCTAAAATTGTTCTTCCAGTTGAATATTCATCGAATTTGTTTTGATTTGTAGCGCAATGCAATATATTAGGCTTAAAGCGTGTAACACTCAATTGATTTATGATTTTTTCGATTGTTATTATAATTATTTATTTCTAATGATTTACATAATGATATTAATACATTTATTGTTATTATTTATTGCGGTAGATTTGAGTTACTGAACAATATATTACGTTGATTGAGAAAGCTAATGTGTGAAAAACTAATTATTCAAAAAGAGCCGCTTTTATACTATATGTACATAAATTTGTTTTTTTTACACTCTGAACAAAGTATATACATATGTACATACATATAGCTTAACACGAAGTTTGTAACATCCAGAAGGAAACGTCGGAGACGCTATAAAATATATACATATGTATGTATGTATGTACATGATCAGCATGACTGCCTGAGTCGATTTAGCCATGTCCATCAATGTGTCCGTCCGTCTGTCTGTTGAAATATCTATCTGACATTTTGGACACGCCCTTTTATTCCCAAGAAACTGATATAACAAATTCAAGCTTGAATTGTATTATAGATTCGGTGCGACCAAAGTTAAAGTTTTTTCGTGCTAAATGCTCTTGTCGCACACATTTCATATTTCCCCAAAAGATTTAATGTGAATTAGATCGGATTAAAAACAAAAACCGCAAAAATTGCGTATACCGCAAAGATTCGTAGAATCCTTTATGTTATGAATCAAGTCAATGCTAGAATCGTACCAAAACACTTAAGTCTTTTGCACAAACGACGTTTACAATGTAACTGAGGGTCCTACATTCAACAAACGTATCATTATTGGTGACGAGGTGTTAGTTTATGAACATGACGTCGCAACTGTCTGGCAATCTAGCGAATGGCGCGCCAAAAATGAGTGGAAACCGAAAAATCAAAGTTGACTGAGGTCACTGAAAGCCATCCCAGTCGACGCTTATAACAAGTGTATTGAATTTGACATGCTTGTATTAGCTCCGTAGCCTACTTTGAAGGTGATAACAAGAGTTTGTATTGTGAAAATTTTGTATTTTGTTTATTAGTCTGGGACAAATTTAATCAGATGCTATACACATATTCACCTTTGAAAGTACATATGTACGATGTACATACATATCAAAATTTATACATGAATATGTACATATGTGCATACATTTGATATGAAATATGTATGTATATGAAAAAATTTCAGGGTGGTTTTAGCCTTTGAGTTTCACTCTACATAACTACGGGTGCTTATCACATTTACTCAAATAGTTAGAACTCCATTTCACATTTTTTTATGCAATCTTGAGTTATACTCGGTAAAATATGTTGCTCTCAGCGTGATTTATAAAGTACCGGTATATGTGTGCCATATGTATATATTGGAAAAATAAAGTTTTCCGAAGCATTCCACATACGAATTTAACATTTACCTAAATTACTTATTCGATATCAAACGAAAGCGTAGTCTGCTCATAGCCAGCCGGTGCTGCTTGTAAACAGATACAATAAGTACTCGAAGTTACGGATCGTATAAACGTACATACTTACGTACTATATCTAACATATTTGAGTGCAGAACTTAATGTAGTGTTAAACTTAATGCGGCATGTGCTCGTCGTTCTATCGGCAGCGTTTACGTTCATTTGTTAAATGTAAGTAGAAATTGTATATGTACGAAGCTTTTTTATCTACATTCGGACACATGTATTTACATATACATATATTATAATATGAATAACCGTTCTACGCCAACTCGAAAACCAACGAACGTTCAGTCAGTCGCATTTTTGAGTTCTAACCACGCAGATCTCTTGGCAAAACACCCGCATAATAAAAAACTTCGGAAATTACACACTCCATATTTAAAACAGCAAATTAACACTATTTTAATAAAAGACAAAAAGAGTTTAGTATTTTGGCTATATTGAGCGGCGTAGTGGTTATTTTTAACAATATTTTAATAGAATTTTATGTGTAAACGATACTTATGAATGTACATACATAGTATATTTGAATTTCGTCGCATTTGTACAGTTATAGTATGAACAAGCTGATGAAAGCACAGTGCGAAGTACACAAGTGACGCATGAAGTCGTAAAAATATTCAATTAACATACATATATAAATATGTATATACACCAACAGAAACGAAAATAAAAACAGTAAACAAATACTTAGCTAGTTGCTCAACTAGTTGTATTTCGCTATCAGCCGTATCAGCGAATTCTATTCACATTTACCGCTTTAACAAAATTAATTCACGTTAAAATTATCTGCGAAATCGCTATTGGAAACGGACCGCACGTGAATATTTGGTATTGCCCATTGAGCCGAACGTTCTTAGCCGGTCAGCGCATACCCGCCGCGCTGCGAGTACAACATACATATGTACATACATATGTATGAATGTTTTTCAAATGCCGGGAGCATATACGGATAAGAGAGTATGCGAACTTGTTTATGAATAAGCATCATTTTGCATCGGTACATACCGAAAATAAGGTGATTCGTCTGCATAGCGTCGCACGCTCAGCAGTTCGCTAGTGACGACGTGGTTGTTGCGCCACTTTCCGGAGAGGGTAATAACTACAAACGTGCATTTTGAGTGTTGAGAGTAAGCTGTACGCAATACAAATCGTAAAGAGCACGGGTAGTGATTTCATAAGTAATTTGTATCTTTAACCAATAAGACGAAGTCTCGTTCGCAGTTATTCAAACTAAACAATAAAGCCAGTATCCGCAAATCAACAGCAGCCGCAAAGCTTTCGCACATAAACAGTTGCAAAAATGGGTTACGATGAGGTGCTTGTGCCCTTGGGAGATTTCGGCAAATATCAACGTCTTATTTTCTTTTTACTCTGTCTTACAGCTATCTCTTGTGCCTTTCATAAAATGTCACGCACATTTATTTTTGCTAAACCGAACTTCCGCTGTCAACTTCCTTTTGAGCACGAAGCGAATGACACTCATCTTAACGCCAGTAAAACGAACGATTTCAAATTGCCGGCTCACCTGTGGCATTTGGTTTATCCCGCTGATACAGCTGATCCGAAAATAGGACGTTATGAGGCTTGTAGCTACTTTAATATTGAAAATAAATACTATGAGTTGTTGGGAAGCAGTATGCAGACATATAATGACTCGCTGTTGCATCAAAATATTACATTGAGTAATAAAACATTGCCTTGTAACGGCTATATTTATGATCGGTCCAAGATTAGTAACAGCGCCGTCACAGAATGGAATATGATTTGCGATCAAAGTTTCTTGGTAGCCACGAGCGATGCGATATTTATGTTTGGCGTTTTAGTTGGTAGTATTGGCTTCGGGCAGTTATCGGATAAATGTGGCCGAAAGCCAGTCTTCTTTGTCTCGTTGCTGATTCAGGTGTCGTTTGGCATACTGGCCGGTATTGCACCGGACTATCTTACCTATATAATGGTACGCTTCATAATTGGTGCCACAACTTCGGGAGTGTTCCTTGTTGCTTATGTCATTGCTATGGAGATGGTGGGTCCGAAGAAACGTTTATATGCCGGCATATTCTTGATGATGTTCTTCTCCGTGGGTTTTATGCTTACAGCGGTATTTGCCTACTTTATAAATGAATGGCGGACATTACAAATAGCCATTTCATTACCGGGTCTTTTATTTCTCGGCTATTATTGGATTATACCAGAGTCCACTCGTTGGCTAATTTCGAATAATCGTAAAGAAGCCGCGATCACCAACATTCAGAAAGCCGCTCGTTTCAACAAAGTGCACTTAGACGAGGCTGAAATTAATCGATTACTAAGCGATGAGGAAAACGTCGAAAACTTGAAAACCAAAGAAACACAAGAGAACACTGCTGCGACCTCTAACAGAGCAGTATCCGTTTTCGATCTACTACGTTATCCGAATTTACGTCGAAAAACGTTGTTAATTTTTTTCGATTGGTTTGTGAATAGCGGTACTTATTACGGACTTTCGTGGAACACAAACTCTTTGGGTGATAATATGCTGTTGAATTTTGTGATTTCCGGCGCAGTTGAAATTCCTGCCTTCACTTTCTTGCTTTTCACGCTCAATCGTTGGGGACGACGCACCATTCTCTGCGGCTGTATGTTGGTTGCCGGATCCGCGCTGCTGCTCACCATTGTCGTGCCGAAAGAATTGAATTGGCTGATAATTGTGCTGGCAATGATGGGCAAACTCGCTATCACCGCTTCTTATGGCACCGTTTATATCTTCTCAGCTGAGCAATTCCCCACAGTAGTGAGAAATGTGGGCTTAGGCGCGTCTTCAATGATGGCACGCATTGGCGGCATTTTAGCGCCCTTCATCAATATGCTGAGCAATGTATGGCGTCCGTTGCCGCTCATCATTTTCGGAAGCGCTGCATTCATCGGTGGACTACTGTCGTTGCTGCTGCCTGAGACACACAACAAGCCGACGCTGGAGACTATAGAGGAGGGTGAAAATTTTGGTAGAAGGGTGGATACAAGGGTCGAGCGATCTAATAAAGACATATTCATTGTGGATAACATGGAAAATGTGCCTTTGAACAGTAATGGAAATCATCCTGACAAAATACAAATTAAAAAAATGACTAGTTGAATAATTCAAGTTGTATCACCAAGTTTTAGTTTAAACAATTTGATTTCATTTTGCGCTTAGCAGTATGTAAAAATCCAAGTATTTATAATAATAATTTCGTAAAAGTTTCGTTCTAAAATATGTTCTTCTTATATATTAGTTTGGAAACCATTATTGCCCACAATATATTCAAAATTTCAACTTTTATACATTCTGCGTTGTCTTTTTATATTATCTAACTAAACTTCCGGAGGTTTCAACAAAGTATGTTATATATGTATATATTTATTTATACTATCGTACTAGTTATCACATTTTTCACATTCATCAAAAAGAATTTAAAGTATTCTACTGCTTTCAAAAATTACCCAGCTGCATAACATATTACTTAAATGTCGTAAGCTAGTCGTATATTAAACACTTATTAGTGCATATACATATGTATATGTATGTATTGCGGTATACTCTGTCTACTTAATATTACCAAATTGTGATGAGTTATAATTACGAATTCTACAAACTAGAAACAATAATCAATATTATTTTCTGAATTATTAATTTAAAATGGACAATTATACATGTACTATATAAATAAAAATCGATAAATATATATAAATAAATACTTCGTAGATCTCAAAAATATGACTTTTATATTGATTCATGCAGAAAGGAAGTACAATTTTCAAAGAAATTGTTCAGAACGGCCATATACGAGTATGTAGCTGTCATATAAACTGATCGATGAAAATCAAGTTAAAGATCTTTTTATATGCTATTATGCTATAAGAAATGCATCTGTGTATCATAATTCTGTCATCAGTAAAATTCTTTATACCTATGAAAGTACATTCCATACCATTATGTATGATACTCGATTTCTTTTGCATGGCCACCACAGGTCCGCTTGCAGAAGTCCAGCCGCTGAATCCTATTTTCGACGATTTTCAAGCAAAAAATCAGTGGGTGGCTTGTGGCGCCGTCCTGTTGTAACCACATAATGCCCGAGTCCATATCATCCAATTCGGGCCAAAGCGGTACCGATTCCTATTCACAGTAACGCGCCGGTCTCGATCACCACGGAAGAAGAACGGCTCAATGACGCCGGCGGCCCATAAACCGAACCAAAACGTAATTTTTTCTGGATACAATGCTGACTGATGGAGTACGTATGGATTACTAACTGACCAATAACGCATATTTTGCTTATTGACGAAGCCATTCAGCCAACAATGAACGACGACCATAAATTGGACGTTGCGCTCTTAAAGTTGAAATTTTAATAATTTCGACTAGTTATTGGATCGTATATGCTTCCATGATGAAATGGCAAACCTTATTGAAGAGAAATGTCAAAAAAGCGTGAAAAAGTATGATTTTTTTATTTAAAATTATTTTTTTTTGCACTTTGGAAATGTGAATAAAATACTCATAAACAAATCCAGGAGGATCCAGGACTGCTGCTTCCTTCATGTGACCACGTTATTAAATTCAACTTCAAAAGGAAAAATCTTTGTGTTCATTCTTAAGCAATTGTTAATCGCCAACTCATATTTATTTTTCAATCTATAGAAAATTTACTTTTTTGTGAAGAAAGCTGCAATGAAAGACTTTGGCAGTTAATTTGAATTGAGATTTATTTTCATATCTATTTCTGCTGGAGAGTTGACATAAAGCAATAAGGAATTTCGTTCATTGGGCTACTATTGTACATAAATATGAAAGTATATGTGTACGTATAGTAGATATGTACATATGTATGTATACTTAAGTGACTGTCAAATGGATGTGCTTCTTAATGAAAATGTGTGCAAACAATCAAGACCATCAATTAAGTTGATGGCTACGCAAGAAGCGAAAGTCGTTTATATTCTCATTCTTACATACATATATATGCCAAAATTTTAAAATTTATTAATAAAATATGTTGCTTTTCTTGACACGTGCTACTCTTTTTGACATTGTAAACAACCAAATATTACTTTACTCAAACTTTATTTGACAAACTGTCTAGATTTCCATGATACATTCTTTAGTTACACTTGACTAAGGCAAACGTTTAGCACAATGCCTTTGAATATATGTGAATAATAATTATTTTAAATAGTAGATAACGTGCACTGACACATTGCATAGCGATATATACATATGTACATATATACACTTATATAGTATAACTATATAAATATTCATGGGCATAATTTGCAGCATCCGCCTGTTTTCATTAATTAAATATTCAACAACAAAATATGTGCATTATCATAGTTGAGCGTGATTGTGACTGTACGTGAGTATATATGTACATATGCATGTATGGCGTTGTTGTTTCTTGTTTCGAGTTCAATTTGCATTAAATATCGATTCTTTAAATTTTTTGTAACATCTTTTGAACAGCTTTGAGAGACTTTAGATGACACTTGCAACATTTACTAGCAAAACATTGAGATCCAAGAAATATATTTAAGTACTCATATTGATAATAAATCGAGGGTGAATCAATTGGTTTTGTTCGAACGGCTATTGAGGATTAAGTCTATATGTACATATATGTATGTTTGTTCAATCATTTGCTTATAATTAATTTCATTTAAATTTGTTGTTTAAACGACGTAATGATGGAAAATAGGCCACCAATTAAAGAAATAAAAATAACATATTTGTTGTATTTGTACTGTCCCTTTTGATTTTCCTACATAGCGTCAACGCCGAGTTTTACGTGGAATAGACTCAAACGAAGGGTCATTCGGGTCCGACAAGACACCGCAGCCGATTGGAAGTTGCACCACGACAATGCCCCGGTTCCCATCGCCGTTCTTGTGAACAGCTACATAACTAAGGGCGATATACCAATGCTTCCGCAGCCGCCCTACATCGCAGATCTGGTCCCCTGGACTTTTTTGTTTCCTTGCCTGAAAAGGCTAATAAAAGGATTGTGAGAGAGGCTGCAACGACGCCGAAGTAATCTATTTTGAAAGTTTTTATAAAATTGTAGTCGACTCAGTCCTATTACTTCCCGAACAAACCCTGTATTTGAGGAAACTGTTCAATTCGTGTTAATCAAAACAAATTTTTTTTCTTTGACAACTTGGATTTGTTGTTATTTCTAATGATTACACCATTAACCATATTTTGTTATCATAATTGCCATTTAGTGGCAAATAGAATAAATTTATTTTATTTCAAACATTTTGATTTTATTTATGTTAAGGGGTTAGATGGGTTTCCTCGGGGTAAAAAACAGTATTTTTCAAAAAATGTTTTCTCTTAGAAGTTCTGAAAATTTTGGAAAAAATACTTTAAACTTGGTCAATGCGACGCCATTGCTAGTGACCCCTCGAAAAAAAATTCGTGTTGGAAGGATAACTTCTTACAGGATCATCTAAAGTGCGTTGAAATCGTAACTTAGAACTTGGACGAAGGAAAAAAACTGAAAATTGGATTTTTGGCAGAAATTTTTACAAAAAAAAAAAATAAAAATTTCACTGAAATTTTTGCGACATTTTTCATTCATATCGAAAAAAATGCTTCGTCCAATTCTTTAAGAATTGTATCTCAAAGATGTAAAGTTTCATGAAGAAGAGTATTTCTCGAGAAATCCTGTCAACCAACTTCAAAAGCACAGTTTCGAGAAAAAACACATTTGAAGACGGCGCACTTAGCCCAACTAACCTCCCGCGATCAATATTTCAAGGTTGTATTTCCGAAACTATTACTCGGATAAACTTGAAAATTTATGACAATATTTTAGAAGTGTTGTAGAACTTAATAAGACAATAAAAAAATCGACTTTTTGAAACCCGAACACCTATGTTACTTCTTAATATTTGAGTAAATCAATCTTTATAAATCACTCGAAATGTGAGTTCATAGTTTTTCTTACCTAGATAGGATATTAAATATGACTTTAGTTGAAAAAATCCACCCTTAAAGTGCTCTCTTTGGAACTACTCAATATAAGTATAGACTGAACTATATTTGCACGTATAACTAGGTATGTACATATGTAAGTATTAGAGTGCCTGCAATGGAAAAACTCCACAATCAGCTGTTTTATCTAGCAAGTCACTAAGTTTGCTTAGTAGTTCTCTGTTTATATGGATTTGAAGACCATGCTAGTGACTGAGTGAGATTACTTATAAATACTATAGTAGTGTATATCGTATTTAGCTAGATAGATGAGTGAGTAAGTTTAGAGCTTTGTAAGCACAGAGTTGAAGTGTGTGCTAGGCATTTGACAGCAACCTCGCTCATTTGGTTTGCCTGCCACAACTGCCGCCTTTTTTTCAAATAATGTAACTACCAGTTGACGCTCTTGTACGTTTTATGATAAAGTGGGATTTTTTCAGTTGCAAAAATTAAAATTTTTAATACCCTCAACTATACTTGACTATGAACTTACTAAAAAGTTGTACGCGAAATATATACGTATGTACATACATATATATACTCGTGTGTGTTTGCTTTCGCATTCAGCATAGTCTGACTAATAGCATTAGCTAAACTTCAAAATATCGATTTTTCAGTTTTTATAATACGACAATTTTGTTAAACAAACCGTTACTGAACGATATTGACGCTTCCACATAATTATTATTACAGATTATTAACTATTTTTGGGATTTCATGCAGGGTATTTTGATTTCGGTGTAACTGAATAAATCTGACGTTCCGTTGTTTGTTTGATTTTTGATTGAATGAGAAATAAATACTGTGGTCAATGAAGCAATTTTGAGTAGATCGCTGCCAGTTGTTTGTTGGTGTTGAGCGAATGAGAGCATTTAGCGTCGCTTTGTGAATTAAAAATCTACAACTGAGCAATATAGATTTTTTTTTGCGAATACTCAGTGTAGATGTTTGTATTTGTATGACTTTGTGGCTATTATTTTAATGACGGCATCAGATGGCAATTGGAGATACGCTTCAAGCATTTGCTGTTAGTCGTCTATTGGTAAAGATCGTGAACGGTTTAACTCGGATCGTTTCGTGAACTGTAGGTCGCGCGCGCGAAAAAATACACTCAAACAATCGAAACCCTGCACCTTATAAACATAATACTTAGTAGCCGGGGCTTTTGTGTGGTATCCACATAAACGCAGACGCCAAATAATTACAAATATTGAAATATTAATTGATTATGAAAAACAAGTGCCTGTACAGTTGTGATTAATTTATTGCAAAATATTTGAATACTTACATACAAGTACCCTTAAGTGAGCACTCATGAGTCTTCTGAAAGGCATAGACTTTGAACGTGTCAGTAGGTGACGTATACGCAACGTGTGATAACCATAAACGCGTGCATATACACATGTTTGTATACATGCGCTACGTATAAAAGTACTTTGCAGATATAAAGTCAGCGGCGTCATTATCAAATACAAGGGAAAACTAATTACTTTACAGTTATATCGAAAAACCTTCTTGACACACATAGATACATACATATGTATGCTTATGGCAGTGCATAAACTTTCGACTGTGACAAAAAAGACAACAAATTAACCAAAAGCTGTATCAGCAAAATAACAAAGTTTATTGCCATAGCTGCGGCAGCACATCATGCCACCAACGGAAACCACAAATTAAAGTCATAGTCTAATATTCGCTTTACCAGTACAACAAATTCTAGCAAAGAATTCAAAGAGTATTCAATCTAACACTAATTTTGACGTATACCGCAGACGGTGAAGTGGAGAGGTTGATTAGCTTCTAGCTTGTGCGATATTCTAGTGAACTTGGTAACAATTTGTCAGAGTCGTCAGGCACATTTAAGCCAAGCGAACTTTCTGAAGGTCTTTCACACAAAGCGAACATACGATTTGCTCTTTTGGCGCCCATGCGGACACGCACACTGCAGTAAAACACACGTATACATACAACTAGATATAATTAACAAAGCAAGGAATTGAGTTCTTTTGGTGGATGGTTAAATTTTTCGGCTGCTACCTGCTCGCAGTTTGTAAAGATAAAATATTTACGCAAAATTCACCTATTTCTTCTTTAAAACAGACATCAAAATGAGTTATGATGACGTCATCAATTATTTGGGCGATTTCGGCAAATATCAGAAACAAATTTATTTTTTGCTCTGCCTGCCGGCGATTTCATGCGCTTTCCACAAGTTAGCTGGCGTATTCCTTTTAGCGCGCCCAGAATTTCGTTGCCTACTGCCGTTTGAGAATCCGTTAAATGCAACATATGACTCTTTTCCGCCCGAACATTGGAATCTGACTTATCCTATAGACCCACTAACCGGTCAATTTCAGCGGTGCGAATATTATAATACTGACTATAGAACGGACTATTTGGAGACGGCTACCACGCCGGCGACAGCCAATGGCACTATCAAATGCAGCCACTATGTCTACGATCGTTCAAGGTACGAGAATAGCGCGGTCACCGAGTGGGATATGGTGTGTGCACGTGGCTTACTGACTGCCACAAGTGACAGCCTATTTATGCTTGGCGTGTTGCTAGGCAGTATTATATTTGGACAAATGTCGGATAAGTATGGACGCAAACCAATTTTCTTTGCTTCTCTGGTTATACAAGTTATCTTCGGCGTACTGGCTGCTATTGCTCCCGAGTACTTTACCTATACCATATCACGCATGGTTGTGGGCGCCACAACGTCCGGTGTCTTTTTGGTTGCCTATGTCATCGCTATGGAAATGGTGGGCTCGACTTATCGACTTTTCGCCGGCGTCACTGTACAAATGTTCTTTTCACTTGGTTTCATTTTAACAGCCGGTTTTGCATATTTCATACACGATTGGCGTTGGCTGCAAATAGCGCTCAGTTTGCCTGGTCTATTATTCATGTGCTATCATTGGGTCATACCGGAATCGGCCAGATGGTTACTCTCTAAAGGTCGGAAAGAAGAGGCGATTGTTGTTATTGAGAAGGCGGCACGCATAAATCGTGTAACCATACCCAGTGAGCTGTATGACAATCTAATCGATGAAGCAGCTGAGCGTGAGAAAAAAGATGATATTTTGTCTGAAGGCGCAGATGAAAAGGCACCCACCGTATTCGATCTGCTGAGATATCCGAATTTGCGTAAGAAAACACTGGTCATACTCTTTGATTGGTTTGTGAACAGTGGCGTGTACTACGGGCTATCGTGGAACACGAATAATCTTGGTGGCAATGTTTTGTTTAATTTCATGATTTCTGGTGCAGTTGAAATTCCCGGCTACACATTCCTCCTATTTACGCTAAATCGTTGGGGTCGCCGCACAATACTTTGCAGTTGTATGCTGGTCGCTGGCGGTGCTCTGTTGCTGACTATAATTGTACCGGCAAACAATAATTGGCTCATAATATTATTTGCCATGATTGGCAAATTGGCTATTACCGCATCGTATGGCACTATATATATTTTCTCAGCGGAACAATTTCCTACAGTGGTGCGCAACGTGGGTCTAGGCGCATCGTCAATGGTGGCACGTGTTGGCGGCATCTTGGCGCCATATTTAAATTTATTGGGTGAAATATGGCGTCCTCTGCCTTTAATCGTGTGTGGCTTCTTGGCATTCTTTGCTGGTCTCCTGTCTTTAATGCTGCCCGAGACGCTTAATAAACCAATGCCTGAAACAATTGCCGACGCCGAACAGTTCGGAAAACGTACGCGCAATACTGAGTTCGGCGAAGCTGGCGGTGAGGAGTTAGCAAGGATTGTTACACCCGAGGAGAAAAATTACGTTGCGAATGGAAAGTCTGCATGATAATATTGTCTATGTTTGTTAAGGGAATTTATATCAATACGAGTATACCGTTATCTTAATATGGAAGTTTCTTAAATGATACAACATATTAATTCAAAGCGAATTATTATTTTAAGAAAAAAGTTAAATAATTTAATCAAACGATAATGCATGCACAAACCGCACTTTGGAATTTTTCAACTTAAGGTAACGGTATACAAACATTTATCATTAGGATTACTATTGTATAACTCTGGAAAACTTTCAAAATTACCAAAGAATTTTTATATTTAAATTTGCATAGTGAGAATTCCTAACTACTACATTACTTTACATCAATTAGTAATTACATTAATGTTAATTTAATATTGCTGCTCTCCAAAATAAAAATTTATCTCTAAAAATATACATTTTAATAAAGACATACTATAAGAATTATGTTATCACTTACAAACTATGTGAGTAACATTTATTGCAACTAACCACAATATTACGTGCGCTCTCAAAGCGACAGTTGAACCTCCACAACTCGTACTTCTATAACTCGAAGTTCTATACTCGTATAAAATTGTTGAATTGGCAACAGAAGTAAAATTTTATATAAATTTCCTTCCATAACTCGAAGTTTTTTTTGTAATATGCTCGTTGGTGTTAGCTGTTCAACTGTATTTCTATAAATGGTACGTATGTACATGTATATGTATGTATGTATGCCTTCGCACATACAATTTGTTGCACTTGCATTTATTATTCTTAATTGGATTAGAACACTCACAAGTATAAAATATTTACTATCTTATATAAATTTATTCGATTACCAGAATATTACGACACATATTAATACAATTATGTGAAATTTGCATTTAAAAATAAATGAATCCTACATAATTATTATATAAAAAAACAATATACTCGAACTTTTGCAAGTATGTGTTTTTACTCTCCGAGATCTAAAGTATCTCTAATACTGTTTGGGTCGTATGCAATCAGTTCAGCAGAATCTTTTTCTTTTCAAAACGAATGCGCCCAGCTTTTCGATATTTTGACTAGATGCACTGATTTATAAAAAAATTGTTATCTTGGATCATTCACTAAGTAAATTCGTTTGATAACAACAGCTGATCTTATTGAATGTTTTCGCAGCCAAGTCCACACTTCACCGCTTTACCATCATATGTTTGAAAAGCTGATATAATAAGACCTTTGAAATGGTTTTTGCTTGTTGCCCTATTGAAAATGGAAGATCGAAAACATCATTTTTAGCAAATTTTACCTCTACTCTATTAGCATCAAAATGGTAAAAAAGGAGTTCAAATAAAATCAAAGAAAATGATGTGTTGATTGCCAATGATGAAATTGGTTTGAAAAATTTCGTTCCGATAATTTCGATCTTGAGGATGCGTCACGTCCCGTCCTGGAAGGCCTCTTGAAGCCGATAAGGATAAAATAACGTGGCTGGTCGATGCAAATCGTCGAAAAACAACTTGAGAAATTTCGACCATTCACAAGAACATAAAACGTGTAGGATTCGTTTCGAAGCTTGACATATGAGTTCCTCATGTTCTTACAGATCGAGATTTGCTTCACCGCATTAACGACTGCAATTTGCTTATAAAACACCAAAGAAGTGTTCCTTTTTTGAAGCGAATTGTAATTGGCGACAAGCGCAAGAGAGCAGGGTCTAAAAGAGATAAACCAGCTCAAACCCTTTAGCTGGCGAATAGTAACCAAAAAAAAAGGTTGTATCTGCTTGGTGGGATTTTAAAGATGCCTTTTATTTGGAGCTTTTGTGATCAGCTGGACAAATTGATGCACTCAAACAGAAGAGGCCAGAATTGATCAAAAGAAAAGGTGTAGTGTTCGAGTATGATTCACCAAAAGCTTTTGCTACTTCAATCATATTATCCAGACGTGACCATCTCCGATTATTATTCTTCTGATTTTTTTTTTTTTTTTTTTTATGGGAAAACCTTCACCTTAAATCAATACGTCAAACCCACTTGGACCAGTATTTCGTCTGCAAGAATCAAATCAATCTCTTGCCAAAATTATTGTATCAAAATAGAGATTTTATGTATGTATATGTTAATTTCATAAAATGTTTTACATATATAATACGAAATCATGCTTAAATTGCACAAAAAAAACGAAATTAGTTAATGAACTAGACCAAAAATAGAAAAAAGTATTCCTAAATCTATACATACTCTACATTCTGTATTCTTCGAAAATGTGTTTATTTTTGAAAATTTCACCTTTCATTTCTCATGAAAATTCTGACATCGCATAAATTACGAGTAAAAATCAAAGTATTTTAATATGGAAAAAGATTGCGAGTTAAAACTCGGACCACCCGAGCGGTCACAAAGAATTGATGTTATTATTGTGGGAGCGGGCATATCAGGATTAGTGACAGCTTATAGACTTTTGGAAAAAGAACCCTCATTACAAATAAGAATATTGGAGGCCAGTGATACTATCGGTGGCAATTTGCGGAAAATACCTCAGGGTGAAATCGGTGCCAAATGGTTGGAAGAGTCACAAGCTCATTTTTATCAATTGCTGCAACGTATGGAAATACCAATACAGCTGCGTTCTACTGTGGATGCAACATTGCCACGTTGTTGGGAACTCGATCAAACTGTATCCTCAAATTTGGCAAAATTCGAGTTACAACGTTACATAAACGAATTACAAATAAAAGCACCTTTTTTTAGGCCGGGACGATTCAGGTTGGTGGCAAAATTTTTGTTATACAACCCTGCAGTAATTCGAATCATTCTTCATAGATTCTGAAGACTAGATCTCTTAAGATTACTACTACTAGTTTCTCATATATAGGCGTCTTGAGAAAGACTTCAGGTATATCGCTAGTATATTTTCTCATATACAGGTCTCTTGATATCAGTAGTATGTAATTTGAGTGAGCGTTCCGACGGTCAAAACCTTATCACGAATCCAAATCGGTTAAAGTTTTGTCATTAATAATCAATAGGCAGTGTAGGCGTTCTCATTACTGCAGGGTAATAACAATTCAAAGGCTAAAATACTTAATTACTCACCATGATGGCTACCATGATTACTTGCAGCATTAGAAAAAACTCAACAAAAATGGATAAACATATAAACAACCGATTATTTTTCAATGAGTCGCGAAAGTTTATGACCAATTTAGTGGAGTTGGTTTGTGGTTCGAAAGCCGCCGATATTACTTACAAAGAATTTATGAGTCTTTGCTACGGCTGTGGTAGCTTACAAAACATAATTAATATGTAAGTTCAAAGAAGCTGTCATATTTAGAGAAAGAAGAAATATCTAAAGACTCATATTTCAGCTACTTGGAATGTCCGAACACTTTACTGGAGTTCGATAGTGCTCAACTCCTCAATGCCCTTACAAAGAGATTGCAAGGCACGGAATTTCTAGTCTCGCGACAAGTAAAAGCTATTTGCCATTATAAAGACTATATTGAAGTGCATGATTCAACGCAGAAGATACACACAACAGATGTGCTCATTTTGGCAATACCATTGAATTCTCTCCAAGAGATCAACTTCTCACCGCCAGTACCCATGGAGTTGCGTAAAGTTATGAGCAATAAACTGAAGTGGCGCTTAATGTTAACAAGCTTTATAGCTGGCTACGGCGATGCCCATTGGCGGAATGCTGGCTATTCAGGCAGTTTTCTTAAGCATGAACCATTTATAGTGGGTTACGAGTACCGCCCCACTGTTTATGGTGGTATGATGATACATGATAGCGGTTCTGAATCGTTGGTACGTTCGATTGCGCTAAAAGCATTTGCAGAAAATTATGGTGAAGCTATGGAAACACCGCACAGCTATAACCAACATACATTCGAGTTGAGCTCGTTAGCACATATGCCACTCACGACACCGTGGCATCGTATTGTATGGTCATCATCGGCTGCTGCCTCCACATGCTATCGCGGCTTCTTAGGCGGTGCGGTGCAAAGTGGGCTGCGTGCGGCATTGAATGCTTTACTATTGGTGCGACCACAAGTGGTGTCATGGACTGATGTGGCCGATGTACATTGTCAAAATTGTCCGAATATTAAGGATGTGGGTGCAATGCAATTATGGATGAGTGGACTGAACCTGTATAATGTGGGCTATTATACCCTGTACGCTTCGAGTGTACTTCTAGCACTACAGTTAGCATTTAAGAAGTTTGGTTGAGACTCATGAACACCTGGTGTATAAATATTTTGAAAATAAATGAATATGGGTGTGAATATGCTATTTTACCTCTACTTAAATAAAGTCAGAAGCCTAATCGCGTTGTATTTCGGTTAAGTAAGTGTCAGAAATTCGCCATTTGTTGCCATTTGGCAAACTTTTTGTTAATAATTGTATTTCTGAAATACGTATATGTCAAGTATTCCATTAACTCCGTATTTATAAATAATCTAACTCGTTGACGTACGGCTGAAATACTATTCTATGAAGCAGTTGATGGCAAAATATATATTTTTGAATTGAATATCCACTGCCGACTTTACTCCTCAATTCCCTACTCAGTCCAAAGTACCATCTGTTGACAATAGTTATTCTGTGTTGGATTTCAAGGCTGACGTTGTTGGTGTTAATACTGGTTTCAAGATAGTCGAAATTATCTACGGCTTCCAAGTTATGACTGTCAACAGTGACGTTGGAGCTAAGTCGCGAGTGCGACGGCTGTTTGTTTGATGACAGGCGATATTTCTTCTTGCCCTCGTTTACTGTTAGACCCACTTGCTTCGATTCCTTATGCAGTCTGGAGAATGCAGAACTAACGACGTAGATGTTGAGACCATTGGAAAAATAATTATAAGCAGCTGTACATCTAATAAGAAATTGTGCCTTCTCGATTCAATGTCTCTTGAATACATATTATTTCAAAACTTTTCTTGAAACTTCAACTTTTCCCAAAAATTAATTCAATTCTTAAATATTATTAGTAAAAAAATACGATTTCAAATGAATATTTCATTTAAAAGGGTCAAATCTGAAATTTTGCACGCGTTGATAAAAATCAAGTCCTTGGGGAAAACTCTATTTGTCAAGATATTTTAACGAAATTTCGCATAGATTACTACCAAAGGACACGATACAATTTTCGTAAAACTTGTTCAGATTGGACGAGTATAATATAGAGCTGTCATACAAACAGAAACAGTCAAGCCCTTGTATTAAAAACTTTTTAAAATATTTTTGTGATGACCGCCTTGACATGCCTTGTGAAAAGAATGATTAAAATCGAGTCAATACCGCATCCATCGGTCAATATGTAAGAACTCTCAATAAAATTCATAAAAAAATCTCTTTCTAATAACAGTGTAGCTCCGATTATAAATAATGGATGCAATTCTTCCTACTTCAATTAAAATATTTACGAAACCCATAACAATAGATAAAAAATTGGCATCGTGTTCAAAGCTTTCTTTTTATTGTTTTCCATGTTCTTATATACGATAATATATTTTATAACTATTACCTTGTTTGTGTGGATTTCACAGTAGACTAATTCACCATTTTCGTAAAATGTTGTCGAATTAACTGTTATTATTTTTTTTTTTTAATTAACTGTTATCGTTCGGATATAAGTTAGACTTGATACAAATACTTACTGCGATACCGAAAGCTCCATAGCATTCGCTCTTCTCATTTGTTTTTTGCAACAAAATATAAAATTAATCGATGCAATAATATAACTAAAAACTTAAAACCTATTATAGTCAACAACTTTCATAATAATTTATGAAATAATATTTTAAATTCATCAATTCTTATTAGTTTTTAAATTACTTTATTGAGTTTAAGATACATTATGCCAACAATTACGGCAATAACGAATTCTGGATTTGGAATAATACATACCAAAATAACTCTAACATCTATTTCGTCGTAGTGATTTTTAAATATTGTTGAAATGTATGTACTGTAGTTTAGTTTACTCACTTAGCCACCAAAGTTTGGAAGTTTGCATTGGAAAATAATTTTCAAATATCCCATGCTCAGGAGATCTCGCTAGTCTACTAGTGGTGTTTAAATTTTACACACCACTGTATAATTGTAGTAGCAAAATATGTAATATTATTATTAATTTGTGCTAACACTGTGACAGACTTTTGACACAGCTTCCTCTGTCATTTCTAGTATTCGTTATGAACGTCACGTTATTTTTAAACCGTTTAAAAAAATTAAACAATATATGTACATATATTTAATCAATTCTAATACTGCTTATTTCTATTGTTGTATTTTGTATAATGTATGCACATGTGCATATGTACATATAAATCTGTTCCGAAGAACTAAATACATACGTACATATGTACATACATATGTACTTATGAGCATACATATTTTTTATTTTTCTGTGCGTATCGTTCTTACTATTTGTCTAGCCTTCAAAAAATGATTGTAGTTGAATAAATCGGAAAGCATATATGTATTTATTTGTACATCATATATTCATAACTGTTTATCGTTTTCTGCATATATATAGATACAAACATGATACATCATTAGTTGCATACCAGGTTCCATTTTTAATGCTTATTTAATGAATAAAATATGTACATATGTGCAAACATTCATGCAGCTGCAAAAGGACATGCTTAAATATACATACGTGTATGTAGATATACATACATATAAACAATTCTTCCACTTTTGTTAGTTGTTTGAGGCTTGATGTAAACGATGAAATGAGGAGCATAAATATATTATATACCGTTGCTCTAACAGCTGCTGGTATATTATCTGCGAATGTCGGATATGACTATACTAAAACAAAAACAAATGGGAGAAAAGTGTGATATTAAAATTAAATAATTAAAGGGCCGACAGTTAATTTTGCCACACAACATTTTAAACTAATTTAATGAAATATAAATATTTATAATTATTTTTATTGGTCAAAATATTCATTTTAATCATTTCTTATTTTCAAAAATAAAATATATTTGAAAAAAAAAAAATTTAAATATAATATAAAAAGAAGGTAAATAAATTGTCATATAGTATAACACAAAAATAAAAAATAAAAATTGTACTTTCTCCTTTGCTATCGGGATCAACCGTTTGAATTACAACAGAAAACGCTTTTGCAATCGGTTTTCGAAGTCAACAAATCACATGTGATATTATTGGCGTATTTATATGTATATAAATATATATTTTTACATTTATACTTTATATTTGGTAATAGATAAAAAAAAATAATACTACTCCTAGAGATAGCTAATCTGAAAAAAAAAAATGAATTTAACACGTTGGCTGACGGTGTACCACCAGTGATTACATAGGAAATATACCAATGTTTATAAATAACATTTTTGATTACTGGATGTTATGGAAGTACATTTTTATGTCTTGTCTCGCCTTTATTTTTTGTTAAAAGATTAAATTGCTTGAATTTCCAAGAACAATATTTTTTCTTAAAAATATATATGTGTGTATGTATATACACACATGTATAAGTATAGAGATATCATCTTATAATACCCATTTTCCACTTAAGAGCACCTCAGACGTCTATCAGTTTTTCACCGTCGTTGCATTGGCACCTGCGGAAAGTCAGATGTGATCACCCGTTTGATTATGTGGAATGATTTTGGCTGCGGTCACCAATGATGCACTGGTAGCCATCGTATAAGCGTTTAGGTTCATGTGTCTCAAGATATCGTCAAAAAAAACCCTGACATCCACACAAATTTAGGTAAATCGTCGTTGACAGGGACCGAAGTTTAAGTATTTATAGAAATACGTATAATCTGAAATTTAACATATCTTACAGGCAATATTTAAATTTGATGTTTCAGCATGAATAATAATGTTTGTTATGTTTTGTTTATTAATTGCGCATATACATATATACTTTATATAAAATACTTTTTGTTGCATATTTCATCGCTTAGAACCTTTGCAGTGGTACTGAATTTATGTTTTGCACGGCAAATGTATATACACATGTATATACAAACAATACTAAAATATTTTAACTTACACTCACTTATACAAAATACAAATAACTTTTAAACATATTATTAGACAATTCCTTGGCGCTTGTGTTTACATTTTTTATGTTTATTTATATATTATTATATTTTAATTTTATTAACTTTTTTGTCTACGTTTTTAATCGTAGGATTTTGTTCAAAGTCTGCACAAAGATTTCCTAGTTTAAGTATTAGCAAAAAAAAAAAATATTTATGTACAACAAACAAGTGCATAAGCGGAGATTCAATATATACTAAGTATTACTGCTTTTCATTCTATATCGATTATATATGTATATTTCCACTTAAGATCTCAATACTTATTGAATTTTCTGTTCAACACACCTATTTTGTTCATAATCGTAGATAACATGGACATTGTACACTTATTTGGAATACATGTATGTATATATTTGCAATAACATTGGATTAATAGGGATTAATATTTATGTACATTTAGCATTTGCAAATGCTTTTAAAACAATATATGCCATACCATATAGTATTAAATGGGCAATTTATTTGAAAATATATTGTGGGTTAGAGAAAAAAGAAACGCAATAAATTTGCAACTCAATATAAGACTTCCTCAATAAATTTGAAGACATGTTCTTTCAATAACAAAAAGGAATTCTATAACAAATGTATTGCAAAATACTATATTAAGTGATTCATAAAAATATTACAACTGAACATAAAGTTTTGCTGAAAAATACCGTTGCAATCCCGCAAGTACCGACATTCTGGATGGATTTCACATTTGCTTGAAAATAACTTTGGTACTTTAGGTAGCGTGATCAGAAGTAGTCACTTTCAATGACAGCAATAGAAATAGCTAATTTGATTCAAATTAAATCTTTATTATGTATATAAAATACTTGTGGTACAGAACACAACACACATTAATACATTTTTAATTATACATTTAAATAGTTTTTTTGAATTTTGTATGCTATTATATGCATAAATTTGACTGCATAACAGCTATAGCTATAGTACTCGTTCGTTGAAATAAATGCATGTGTAGCCAATCCCTTTAAATACAGTCATTAAAAATAAAATTCCCAAACACAAATTCATGTTTCAACACACCGGAAAAGTATACATTTTGACAATTTTTCCCTCGATTTCATTCATTGCAATGTGTAACATAATTTAGGCAGTAATTTTTTGCTTCCTTAATAAACATAACACATTTTATATAACATTCACAAGCATATGTATGTATAACATTACTTCGTTTTTTTTTTTTTGTTTTTATATGAATTTATAGAACTTTATTTGTTTTAATTTAGAGTTGTTGATTCGTTAGTAGTTATACAAATAGTTTATATTTGTTAACAACTACACAATCCACTAAACAATCAATTTCTGAAGCATTTTTAAAGCTATATTTTGTTTCACCATCACACAATTTTTACAACAGAAAATATTGTTTACAATTCGTTTTCATTATTACTGCGAGTGAGTTGCGCATAGTAGTTGCAAGACTCCACTCGGCATATTCGTCGTTTTTAAGTTTCGTTTTAAAGAAATTTATAATTAATAATAATTGGTAGTTATGTTCTTCTTATTTTTATATTATTTTTATTCATTAACTTAGCGATGGCAACAATTGTCGGAGATGCACCATCCAATATTTGTAAGTAATAATCTCAAATGATAGTGCATTTCCAAGCACGACGTTGTTAGCGTCGCTGCGTATCCGCCTCTGCCTCCAACTGAAATTCTAAATAGCAATCGTTACTTGTATAAAATGTACGCCATTGTGTACTCCCACCATCGCTGACATATCCCAAACCGCTAACTCACATCTGCCTATAGGGCGAATGCATTTTCAACCATTGGAGTACTAGAGATGGGCCGCCAGCTTGTATTTCAGGTGGTATTGTGCTCAAAGGACATTTGTCAATGTTTAAGTATTTCAAATTTTGACAAAGTGCCAGCTCATAAGGTAGCTTTTCTAAACATGGATTTTGATTGATATAAAGATTTTCCAGATTCTCCAGCGAGCCAATCTCTTCTGGCAGGTACTGTAAATTGTTTTCGCTAACTGACAAATGAGTCAGATTGCTGAGATGACCAATACTGCGTGGCAGTATAGAGATCTGATTTGTTTGTAAAATTAATTTTTGCAATTCATGTAATAAACCGATTTCGTTGGGCAGTACTTCAATGCGATTCTCCTCCAGGTCGAGAATACGCAATTTTCGCAGATTACCTATGGTACTGGGAATCTTTTTGAGCATGTTGTTGGATAGTACCAAAATTTCTAGATTCTGCAGATTCATTATGTCATCGGGTAACTTTTGTAAAGCATTTGTGGCCAAATTCAATTCGACCATATTAATCCAAGTTCCTACATCGAGCGGTAAAGCAGTAAGCACATTTTCCTTCATATTGAGTTTTGTGAGGCCTTTGGCTCGTGAAAATATTCCATATGGTATTTTATCGATACGATTATRCTCCAGATTAATGCTGTAGACGTTGGTAAATTGAGCAGGCCCACCAGTTGGGTAACTCGTAAAAGAGTTGCGCGATAGTGTAATATTTGTAAGTGCACTAAGACTAGCTAATAGACCATCTGGTAGCTGTGTTATACCATTGCCCTCGACATTAAATTCATCCATGAATTTGCAATTTTTCAGCGATGCCGGAATGCTTGATAGTCGATTGTATCTGCAGAGAGAATGCTTGATGCATACATATTATTAAATTAACTATTTTTGCTTACCTCAAGCCTAATCTTACTAAGCTCTTCAAGTTGCCAATGGTTTCCGGTATGTCCAATAGTTCGTTGTGCTGCAAATCAAGTGCACTCAAAGTTACACATTTGCCTATTTCTTCTGGCAAATGTTCTAAATGGTTGTGAGAGACATCCAGTGTTGTTAAGTTTACCAATGCACCAATGGAGGAACCCAATTCTCGAATTTTATTTTCACGCAGACTCAACATAGTCAAATTAGTTAAATTACGTATATCGGCTGCCACAGCGACGATGCGATTGAAACGCAAGTAGAGCGTGGTAAGAGAACGCAGCCGATAAATCACCGAAGGAATTTCTGCAAGCTTATTGTGTCTTAAATCAAGTACTTTAAGCTGCCTACAATTTTGTAACGACTCTGGTAAAGAAGTTAGCGAGTTTTCGTTTAAAGCAAGTGTCTTTAAATGCACGAGACACCCTATTTCAGTCGGCAGTTGACTAATCTTGTTGCTATATAAATAAAGTTCTGTAAGATGAACGCAGTCTCTTACTGAAGTTGGTATAACTGTGACGGAGGACTTGCTTAGATCCAAGCGTTTTATACCTTAAACATTAATTGAAAAAAAATATATATATATAGAAAGAAATAATATATTATATTACACGTTATATTTACCTTCTTCCCGACAACGCTGAAGCGCTTTAACAACATCCTGATCAGCTTGTATTGGTTTACTTTTCTTTGTAGTTGGTTTGGGTTTATTAGATTCCGGGTGTTTCACCGTTACCATCTTTGGACGTGTTTCCGGTGGCATTTCGTTGTTATTTCCAAAATTACTACCGCTGGCACCGCTGCCACTGTGTGTTGGATTATTTGAAAGGTTCGTCGTTAAAACTGCGGCGCAGCTACTGCTGCTATTGCTGCTTCCAAAACAATGTGTGGTCAATACACCACCGCTACCGTTTTTCCCACTAACGTTCGTACTTTCCACTGCTGCTGCGTCTTCCGATGCCAAAGAGGATGATGATGCTGTAGCGCCGGCAGAGGAACAGAGGTTCATAATTTTTCCCAGCGTTGCGTTTGATGCCTACAGTTTGTTGTCCAAATTCGTAAGCAACAAGTCTTTGCAATGATCTCCTTTCGTAATTTCGAGTTTTAATGTAATAATTAATGACTCACTGATAACAGAACTGGGCTATGCAGAAAAAAGAAATATTTAGTCATGCGAGAAATAACAACGCAAAGAATTGAAATAGATATTTTTCAGATTTATGGAAACTTGTGCTGATATGTGAATAATTGACCAGTTGTGGTTCATAAAGACTATCCTTTTGCAGTTTTTACTAACGAAAACGGCGATTGGCATGAAATGCAACACCTTATACTATTCTAGCAAAACATTTAAATCTATATTGTCAGAACATATAAATAGTGCGTTTTTTTATGCATATTAAAGATAATTAGAATATTCAAAATGTTAAATTCTAGGACTTATGCTTTTATAACGATTTCCACCAATCGCAAATAAAATATATGTATATTTCTAAAAGGTAATTAGCGTACACATATATCTACTTTCATAGTTCTTCTATTCTCAAAAATATATTTACGCTTACATTATGTGGATTTTGAAGAACTTTTTATCTATATCTTCGGCGTTTGCTGTTTGATATTTGTTGGACTTCCGCCGGGTTATACTGCAATGTATTATTAATCAGTATGAAAGTATGTGCACAAGTGTGTACGCATCTTTGTCCGAGTTAAGCCCATTTAAATAACTTTGCAATCAATTTCGACAACCACAGACATTAAGTTTAAGTAGAAACAAACCTTATCACAAGAAGATATACAAATTAGAAATGAATGTGTAACGATTGCCAGTTTTTTACTTGATACACAAATTCTAACAAAGGACTTCGAAGAAAAATGTTTGATATGTAAATATTCATAATTAACGCACCAGTTTAGGCACAAATGTTACCAATATAGAACTTAATCACAATCCATTTCTATTTATATATTTGTCGGTAGATAGATTTCTCTACCTTATTTAAATAAACTTCTTTAAACTTTATTAGTATTATTTTAGTCTTGCAGAATGGTTATTCTTCCATAATTTGACATTTCTCTCTTTCATTCTTTTTTAAGGGTTGCTGCTTGCCTGATAAGAAAAGAACCAATGTCAAATTAAAATTATACCACTTTACAATGAAAAAAAGGAAAACAAGTGTTGAACTATTAATTTTATCACAATAATTTTTCTTATATTTTATAGAAGCCATCTCTGTTTAGTGGTACTTAGATTGTTGCTTACACATACATACGTCAAGTTTTCATAAACAAATTGCATGTATACCTTTAAAGATCACTTTTCATTCCAATATACTCTTGTTGTATTATTCTGTAAAAATTGCACACAAAAATTGATTTTTCATTTTATACGCATACTTCGAGTAGGAAGTTTTTTTCTCAAGAGTCATGTAAAACTATTAATTATAATGTATTTCATTCATAATTTAAATTTTTAATAAATTTTAGCAATCAAGTTATATTTTGTGCGAATAATTTGACACTTTATTTTAAATATCACTGAATTACTTTCACTTGTCTGCAAACAAATCTATCGTGTATCAAATAATTAGAGAATGTGAATACGAAATTTTTCGCACAAGAGTTTGCGAGTTTCAAGAGATAAGATTCTCAAAACGCATGCGCTGTAAGAACACAATTTTTAAACCCTATAATAAGACTGCCACAATCTTTAAAATCGTTTCTTTATTCTAAATTTTAAATTGTAGCCGTGACTACGCTGTTCGTAGAACTTCCCTCTGATCACCGAAAAGCATAAAAAATATAGAAATGAAATAATAGATTTGTTTAAATCTTATGTAAGAATTTGACAGTGTAAGCGCCTTATTATTGTTACTATCAAAGTGTTTTTTGATTGATTAAAAACAGATGTGAGCTTCAATAGTGTTATCAGCTGTTCTTTGAGCAAAAGGATGCCAGCTGATGTTAAATAAAAAAGGTATCACCAGGAGTAAAATATAACTATAGCATTTATATAAAAGTTTTTACTATACCACTAGTAACAAACAAATAAATTGTTAGAGAAAAGCAAAAGAAGGTAGCAGAATTTAAAGAATGTAGTTATAATTCAACAAATGATGAAAAAAGCGACTCCTTTAGTTACCATTGTAAACGCTGGTCATCATGGTTACGAATCGGGATTAAAACTGCAAAAACAACTAAGTAATCAGAAAGCTGAAGATTGGACCAATTTCCGTAATTATCTAATTTTGCAGCAACATGATCCAGTGTATACTATAGGTATACGAACGAAGAATTATTCAGACGCAGATGAACAACGTTTACGTAAATTGGGGGCAGAGTTTTTTCGTACAAATCGTGGCGGATTGATAACTTTTCATGGACCAGGTCAATTAGTAGCATATCCCATATTACATTTGCATCAATTTCAGCCGAAAATGAGATGGTATGTTGCTACATTGGAGAAGACTGTTATTGAAACCTGTCGCAAAATGGGCATTCCACAAGCTACTACTACATCAGATACTGGCATATGGGTAGGAAATAACAAGATTTGTGCAATTGGTGTACATGGCTCTAGATATGTTACAACACACGGTATAGGTCTTAATTGCTGTACCGATTTACGTTGGTTCGAACACATTGTACCATGTGGTATTGAAGGAAAGGGTGTTACCACATTGAGTAATGAGCTACAACGAAATGTATGTGTAGAAGAAGCAGCGAAAGTCTTTGTACGATGTTTTGCAGAGCATTTTAAATGCCAAATACAAGAAAATGTACAATGATTTTACTTTATATTCGTAGCTTAGGAAATAATATTGTATCATTGTAACATAATCTGTGTCTTATCGATATAAACGAAGTAAACATTTTACACATTGCTGGTAAGAAAATTTATCTAAATATATGGTCATTATCATAGGAATCTACCTACGTGGTTACAACATCGCTTTTACAGGCACGAGTAGAGATTACAGTTATAACGGGAAATAAAAAAAAGTGAAAGGAATCTTATTGAAACCGAGATTTATTTAAATTGTTTTTTGCCTCTTTGTTGTCTATAATTACTTTTCCTCTTTTTAGCGCCTCTATTCGACCAATTTTACGTTGCTCTGCTTTTCGCATGCGCCTCTCTGTGCGCGATTCTGGGGCATTATTAAAATACCGGTCGCGAAAATCGTACGAATTTGAAAGCTGGCATGAAAGTTGGGCACTGTCAGGTGTATTAATATCACGTTTTTCATAAGTCAGTAATCTACGAGAAGTTAGTCCTGAAAGTGGCTGTTCTGAATTACCGACCAAATCTAGGCTACTGTGTTGCGGTATCATTTCGCTCGTGTAGTCATCTCTAAAGGAAAAAAAATACTTATATAAAATCATTGCCAATATTAAAACAAAAAAATCATAAACAATACCTATGATATGGTAACCAGCACACCAAGCGTCCACCTAGTTTTAAGTGATGTGCGGAAAATTGAAGAAGATCGACATAAAGTTGATGTAAAGAATAATGTGAGGTAGATGGATAGTGGGGCATATCTTTAGATCGCGTGTTTTGCTTTGAAGTCGTCTTTGAATCTACTTTTTCAGTCGACTCCCGAATGCCATACGGTGCTGAATATGAAAATACATAAAAGCATACATATCATTAACAATTATAAAACCAATTTATTTTATCTCATTTACAAAATATATTATAATTTTTTCCAAATGCTCTTTCGATGTAATTATTTGGATTCTTCCCTTCTTTCAAGAGTATAAATTATGTTTAGTTTAGAAACTCGTACCAAGTACTTACGATCTGTTATAATGGCATCAAATTCAACTCCTTCTCGCCAAAGCGGGTTAGAGAAATCTGATATTATTACATCTATATATCGATCGCCACATCCATATTGTTCTAAATTGGCACGCACTCTTTCATCCCTTTCACGAACTTTTTGTGTAATTCGACTTGGGCGTGAACGGCCGTGGAGCATCATAAAATCTATGTCGGCTCCAAGGACATAACCTGTAACATAAATGTAAATGTAAAAAACTCTTGAAAATAGCTTTAATTTTACCTACCGCCAAACTTTGCTGCACTCACCAAAAGAGATCCAGTTCCTACGAACGGATCCAGAACTAAGTCACCATTTTTAACGAGAGCTTGATTTACCATTAGTAGACTCAACTGGGCATCCATACTAGTGTTTCCAATAAATTTACGTTTTTTAAGGGAAAGTTGCTTAATGAGATCTCGCTGACCATTGGCAACCTTTAATAAACAAACAGTTAATTATAACAAAAAAGAATATCTAATAAAAACAAAGTTACAAGGCGCCCAAAAAGTATATCGTCTGGCTCAGAAGGAACTGCAGTTGGATCTAGGCCATAAAATTCAATATAACACCACTCTGTTTGAGGTGTTTTCAAATCGACTTCACCTCGAAAAGGTAAGTACTCTAGTGTCTCAATTTTTTCCACTTTTTCCTTTTGCGAAATGTGTTTGTTATAGGTCTCAACAACGATTTTGAATGATTTTTGTCTATATGGATTTATAAAGTTTTCTTTGGCCTTTATACTATCTTGTAATTTTTCATGGAATATTTTTAGGTTATTTGCGTGGCCCCATAGTTCATATATACTGCGCAGACTAACAGAGCGCGAAGCAAATTTAATAGCTGATTCTTCATTGGCAAATTCGACAATCCAAAATGGTTTCTGTTTACCAAAAGAAATTAGAAACTTATAAATTATGTTTATAAAAAGCTTCTTACCAGTGTATTGTCATTTAATTTTCGATGCTTCAATCCAAATAACTTAATGATTGAGTTGAATTCCTGCAGAAGTGTTCATATTAGATAAAATATTGTACTAAAATACATGCAACCACTTACGGCAACACGGAAATCTAAATGTTCTTGTGCAAACCACAAAATATATTTCTTCCAACTGCTTGTCATTTTTAAAATTTAATTAATTATGAAGTAAATATTTAAGTTTTGGTTTATTTCTGGTTCATTGTTTACTAGTTATGTATCGATAATTAAAATGTAAAATCGGTCTTCCTGTCGAAACAGTGTTGGCGACACGTTGTGTAACGGAGTATAGTTAAGCTTCTTAACAAGCTTCAGAGGAGTGACTCCGACATAATCAGCTTAAGGAATCGCCGTCTATGAAATGCGATGGACGGGATAAGGACGGACACGACTAAGTCCTTTATATACTGACTGAGCGTTTATCAACAATCCGCTTCAGAGCAAAATTTTTACACATAATATTGATTTGTCAGTAAAGACTATTAATCATAGATAAAGACTGTTTTTATTTCACGGGTATTAGATAACCGTTATTTATTTCCACCATCGGTTTTTATTTCCCTATTTTATTTCTTTCGTGCTCTGAATAATTATCAAATTTAATCAAATACTACTAAATGCATTTACTACAAATGAAGTAGAACCCTGTCCACGTGGTTATTTTACGATCCACAACTTTCATCTTCTAAAATCGTTGCTTTTCAAAATAACAGATATTGGTTTAATTTACAAACATAATGACAAATTTTATGTATACAAAAACATATTTTACATAAAATTAATATTTACATACTAAAAACATACGAAAGGACACTCTGTGCAACTTTATTAGACTTTTAAACTCAGAGGAATTACTTTGAAATGTAAAAATGTCTAAAGAGGCGTAATTCAATGCAACCCTGAGTAAATGTCAGCTCGGCCATTTTGCCGAATTTCGACGGTGCATAGAGGCAAGCAGACGAACTTCACAAATATTCTGCTTCAAAACCGCATATTATTTGCGAAAATAATTGAAAATTAGCAGTTTAAGTGATTGGTTCTAAATATTTGATAAAATAATCATGGCGCGCTATACTCAACGTCCGGAAAATGCTCTGAAAAGAGCGAATGGTAAGTGCATACAAATGTGTATAAGACCATGCTGCCGAAGTCACAGATTTTGCAGTCGTGGTAAACGTGACGATGCGCTGAAATGTCACAATACATACACATACATTTGCAGATATTAATACAGATTTATCCAAAATGATTTTACTTTATATCTATCTATACAGAATTCATTGAAGTTGGAAAGCCTTTGCGTGCTTTGGACACCCTTCAGGAGGTATTCCGTAACAAGCGCTGGAACTATGCCTACTCCGAGACCATTATTGAACCACTTATGTTTAAGTATTTATACTTATGTGTGGAGTTGAAGAAATCCCATATCGCTAAGGAGGGTTTGTTCCAATACCGCAATATGTTTCAGCTGGTGAATGTGAATTCTTTGGAAAATGTAATTCGAGGATATTTGCGTATGGCCGAAGAACACACTGAGGCCGCTCAGGCTCAGTCGTCAGCAGCAGTTGCCGTTTTGGAGTTGGACGATCTGGACAATATTGCTACACCTGAAAGCATTCTAATGAGTGCCGTATGTGGTGAAGACGCACAAGATCGTTCCGATCGCACAATTCTATTGCCATGGGTAAAGTTTTTGTGGGAGTCTTATTGTCAGTGCTTGGAATTGTTGCGTGTGAATACGCACTGTGAAGCCCTGTACCACGATATTGCTCGCATGGCATTTCAGTTCTGTTTGAAGTACAATCGCAAGAGTGAGTTTAGACGTTTGTGCGATAAGTTGCGAAAGCATTTGGAAGATATTTGTAAAAGTACTACCCAAACTACTGGTGTCTCAATAACTAAACTTGAAACACAACAGTTGTGTTTGGATACAAGGCTTTATCAATTAGATTCGGCTATACAGATGGAGTTATGGCAAGAGGCGTATAAGGCCATTGAAGACATCCACGGTTTGATGGCATTGTCAAAGAAAACGCCAGTACCAAAAACTATGGCAAATTATTACCAGAAATTAGCAATGGTTTTCTCCAAGGCTGGAAATCAACTTTTCCACGCTGCAGCATTGTTAAAGCTTTTCCAGTTGACACGCGAATTGAAGAAAAATTTAACAAAGGATGACATGCAACGTATGGCTTCTCATGTCCTTATAGCAACAGTTTCGATCCCACTCCCTTCGGCTCATCCAGAATTCGATCGTTTCATTGAAGCCGATAAGAGTCCACTAGAAAAAGCTCAAAAACTAGCTGTGCTACTCGGTCTTCAACAACCTCCAACAAGGGCCTCTTTAATTAAGGAAGTTGTAAGTATAAGTAATATATGTTTTATTTTGCATCAATTATTAAACCCTATTTCTAAACTAATTTATAGGTTAGGCTAAATGTACCGCAGTTAGCTTCTGAAGAGTTCAGAAACTTATATAACTGGTTAGAAGTTGATTTCAACCCCTTGAATTTATGCAAGCGTGTGCAAACTGTCATCGATGTTATTGAAAGCGCTCCCCCAGAGAACAACTTGTTGGCACCTTATATAAAATCGTTGAAAGATGTCACAATTATGCGATTGATTAGAGAAATTTCACAAGTTTATCAGAGTATTGAATTCAGCCGTTTGTTACAATTAGCATCGTTCTGCAATATTTTCGAACTCGAAAAGTTGTTGGTCGAGTCTGTGCGTCATAATGATATGCAAATTCGAATTGATCATCAAAAGAAATGTATTTACTTTGGAACTGATTTAACCGAGAGTCAGAGGGAAGATCACCCCGATGGTCCAACATTACAGTCCATGCCTTCAGAGCAAATACGGTCACAACTGGTTAATATGGCAACTGTTTTAAATCGTGCTGTATCGGTCGTCTATCCAAATCGTGAAAAAGATCAGCGTGCCAAACTTCGGGCTCAGATGGTATATCACTATCACGAGATCAAGGATCGGGAACATCAACGTATTTTGCAACGTCAAAAGATTATCGAAGATCGTAAAGAATTTATTGAAAAGCAGAATAACGCACGTGAAGAGGAAGAAGCACGTCGCTTGGAAGAAGAAAGTCGCAAGGCGAAACTTGCCGAGCAAAAGAGACTGGAGCAGGAGAACGAAGAGCGTGAGAGAAAGCGTCATCAAAATGAAATTGAAGCAATTATGGTCAAGAGCCTAAAGGTAAGTCGAAATAAAATATCCTTTTAATTTTCTTATAAATTCTGGCTTACACATTGCACATTTTGGGTCGGCTTTAGTATACCATCCCACGATTTCGGGGTTAAAAGTAGTGTGGTTGGATAGGCTGATGCTCCAGATTAAGAAAAAATATAATTGTTGCCGCCGAAAACTTATAGTTTTCGAGATATTTGCGTTTAAAGTTGAACATTTTGCAAATTTTATCTTGCAATTTCTCGATTTATAGTAGTTATTTATTCCATACTATGCACTTACATTTCATTACATGGTTTCTACATATTTATTTTTCAGTGATTATTTAGTTATTTGCTTAAAATAAGCATTTTATATTTAATACAATTTTCATTCCATGCACAATAACAAAAGTGTTCCTTGTTGCCATAATTACACATTTATCAAACAAATAAAAGTGAATATAAAAACTCAAACGCAGGAAACAAATACCATCTGAAATAAAATTTCCATTGTAATAAAAAAAGTTTTAAGGCTTATATGTATGTTTAATTGTATATAATAATTTAACAAAAATATCATAATGATTATTTGCAATATTTTTTCTCCAAATATATTCAAAAATTAAATTGGAAAAATCTACACAATTATTATCACCAACGCAAAAAAGGAGTTTTACTCAAAAAAAATCTGACACACCCCGGTGTGGGATCGGCCAGGATTACCTGCTTATTTTAAGCAAATAACTAAATAATTACTGAAAACAAATATGTAGAAACAATGTAGTGCAGCGTAAGTGCATAATATGAAATAAATAATTACTAGAAATCGAGAAATTGCAAGATAAAATTAGCAAAATTGTCAACTGTAAATGCAAATATCTCGAAAACTATAAGCTTGCGGCGGCAACAATTATATATTTTCTTAATCTGCAGCGTCAGCCCTGTCCAAATCATACCACTTTTAACCCTGAAATCGTGGGATGGTAAACTAAAGTTTCCCTCACATTTTTTTTTTTCAGGATAAAATGCAACAAATTTCGCAAACCGCGCGCGGTAAAAAGATGCTTTCTAAATTGGATGAAGAAAGTCTTAAAAAGTTGGATGCGGAACAAATCGCAGCTAAGGAATCTGAAGAATTGCAACGCGAACGCAAAGAATTGCAGTCGAAGCTCAAGTCTCAAGAGAAAAAGATCGATTACTTCGAGCGAGCTAAGCGAATGGAGGAAATACCTCTTTTCGAAAAATATTTGGCCGAAAAACAAGTTAAAGACAAAGAGTTTTGGGAAGCACAAGAACAACAACGCATTGAGACCGCTATTACAGAACGTAAAGACGCTGTCGCACAACAGGAGCGTTTGAAACGCATGTATGAGGATCGTGATGTCTTCCTAGAGGCCTTGAAGAAGGAACGTGCATCATTATATGTCGAAAAACTAAAGAAATTCGAAGTCGCTTTGGCCGAAGAACGTAAGCGTTTGTTAGCACATCGTTGCGAGATGCGTCGTCAAGAACGTCGTCGTCAATGGCTTCGTGAAAAGGAAGAGGAACGTATGCGCAAAGAAGAGGAAATTCGTAGAGCAAAGGAGGAGGAAGAGAGGGCTATTGCTGAAGCTTTACGCAAGGAGCGTGAAGCAGAAGAAGATAAAAGACGTATTCAATATGAGAAACAACGTGCTAAGGAAGAGGAAGCTGAGCGCCGTATACAGGAAGAACGTGAACGTTTGGCTCGTGAAGTGGCTGCTGAAAATCGTGAAAAGGGCGGTGATAAGGATCGCGATCAATGGCGACGAGGTGATCGTGGCGAACGTAGTGAGAGAATAGAACGTGGTGATCGTATCGAACGTGGTGTCGAACGCACGGAACGCGGAGAACGTGGTAACGCTTCTAACACTGAATGGCGTCGTGAGCGTCCAGAACGCGTTGAACGTGGCGAAAGGATCGAGCGTGCTGAACGTCCAGAGCGTGGCGATCGTTTTGAACGTAAGGAAGGTGAAAGTGGCGGATCCGACTCATGGCGTGTACGTCGTGATCCCGACCCAGCAGCTCCTCGTGCGGGTGGTCCCGGAGCTGGACGTGATAATCGCGAAGCACGAGACAGCCGTGACGGTGGAGATAAGTGGCGCCGCGGTGGTACTGGAGCTGGTGGCCTTGGAGGCGCTCCAAGACGCGATGATCGGGAAAGTCGTGAGGGCGGTGGAAATTGGCGAGATGCGCCACGTAATGATCGCGATCGCGATAATCGAGATATGCGCGACAATCGCCGTCGCGATGAACGAGGTGATAGGCGTGATCGTGACCGCGGAGCTGGTGGTGGTGGCAAAGATTCCGGAAGTTGGAGAATGGAGCGTCCTTCTGGTCGTGATGACAAGGAAAGAAATGCTCCCAAACGCGAACCTCAAGAAAAAGGTTAGATAATTATTTGTCTTTTCTTTGTTGAATTATTTTTAATTGTGCCTTTTGCAGAGAACAAAAGTGGAGATGATGGCGAGTGGACTAATGTAAGGCGCCGTTAAGTGTGGGCGCACAAGTAAATATGACGTTAACAATAGGCCAGAATTAAAACAAATATTTCGATAAGTAAACGTGCAAAATCAACATTTGCGAGAAACGTTTGCTGAGATCCTACATCATAAATACTTACAGATTGAACTTCGTGCAGTTGTCATTTATATACACATACTCTTATATGCTTCGCTTAGTCTATTGTTTAATAATGGAAATTAACTCGTAGTACTTCAAACAAAAAAAAAACATGCTATGAGTGTATAGAAAGGCATATTTGCAATTTCTTCAAATATCAATAAATATATATATATATATATATACTTAAAAATAAAATGAAAACTGGATGCAGTTTTTTTAGTTTAGCTTAACTTTCAATTACATATTAGATTCCCCTTAAATGTGGACATGTGGTGAAGAATATCACTTTAATTTGGAAAAAATATGAGATACTTCTCAATACCGATTTATTGAAAAGTTGTGAAGTCCCTAAAACTCGAAAACAATCTGTTAGGCAAATGTTACCATATTGAGAAAATTCACAACGTGCTGAAATATAATATATCAAGCAAGAATATCAATATTAAAGACTTTTTAAGTTCATGCTGGATTCATATCATTCGTTAGTGGATCGAATGATTTCTAAGAATTTTGACATAAAAATTTTTGAAATTAGTAATACCACAATTTCGTTCGTTTTATTTGTTAGAATGCGTTTGGCAGACATCTTGAACGAAAAGAGTAATTATTTCTTCCTGCAACTGTATTGAAATGATAGTTTGACAGTTGTTTCATTAACACTCATCAATAACTGTTCACTTTTGCCTAAGACAACAGCTGATTCTATGGGTAAATCAGTTTTAATAATAAAACAGTTTTAATAATAGAAAATTAATTATATGGTAATAAAATATACTTTATGATATCTCATTTAGTTATCTTTATTCTCTTCTTTCGTAAATACAAGTGGCAACACCTTATACTTGCTTCATTTTATTTACATATATTTTCACGGTTTGACAATTTTATTATCGATTGTGTTTGGTCGTGTAAAGTGCATAGAAAACGAAATTAATTCATAAAATTATCCGGAAGCAGTTAGAAATATTTAAACAAGCTTTTTTGTTTTTCTTGTGCATTTGGGTTAATTTTGATATAAAGTTAAAACCTAAGTACTGAAGTTGAATTATAACACCAATAATAGTGGACTAAACAGCGGCGATAATTTAGAATGGTGAGAATATTCAAGCAAGGTATATCAGCGGAAAGGCAAAGAGACCAAAAACGCATATAAAAAAAAAAATATATATATCAAAAAGGAAAGGGACTTTTCAGGCGTCGTCGTCGTCGTTTTCTTGGTATACAGATTTGTATTGCAAGCGGTACAACTTTGAATTTATTACAAACATTTTGGATTTGAAATTTTTTATTACACTGATACATATAATACAGTAGTAAATTAAATTGTGTACACTGCTTTCCCACAATCAAACATAAAAATTTCACAATGACCAACATGGAGAAGCAACATGAAATGGTAAAACGCAGTCTGGTGCAGTTCATTAGTGCTCACATTCCAGGTGCAGATTTTAGTGTAGTGGACGAAATAGTTTTGCAATATATTATCTCCATTTTGGAGGAAGCTTCACAAGATCCATGTTTCGATATTGAGGATTTCGTTGAAATGATGGGCGCTTATTTTGCCGAGTTCTCCTCAATTGACCAGGGTATTATTTGCGAATGGATATATAAATTGGCAAATGAATTGAACGAAATGGAAAAGAATCAAGGAAATCAAAGTTCTACAAATTTATCTTTGAAGTATGCCATATCTATTAATAATTAAGAAGCAATTAGAAATTTAAAATGCATATATTTATTTTTAGTTCATTGAGCCTTTCTGATATTATACCCGAATCAAAATTACGTGCACGTAATGCTTCCATTTCTGAAAAGGATGAACAGACCATAAATGGCAACTGCGCAGGTGGGGCCGGGCCTAAGCGCGCACAGCATTTATCAGAAACTAGTGATGGTGGTTCTACTGATAGCTCTACTTGCGATTATTATTTGGATGAAGCCGAGGTTTTGCAAGAAATGTTTCCAGACACAGCCTATGTAGAGGTGCGTATGTGTAAAAAAAATGTAATTATTACACATTTAACATATCCGTATACATACATATAAATATGTTCTTTATCCTTTTATTTTTGAATGTGATTTTCCGGTATATCGTTTGCGGATAAAAATACAAATTTTCAAACTGTAGATTTCATACATGTATAGTGTAATAATTAATTATTGATACAATCAGTTACTTCAGCGTAGATTTTTAAGAACATTTTTCTGCATTACGTTCGTTTGTCGTACTTTATTCCATGTTAACCTTGAAGATAGAAAAATCTATTAAGTATGTATATAATAAAAATTTTCACCGCTTTTTCTTCACATGAAGTTAATAATTTTTCGGAACCGCTGATCTCGAATCAATATGGTACCGACAGTCGGGTCTAAGTATCCGGAACGAACCCGCATCTTTATTTGGTCAAGGACTATCAACTCGGCACCATTTTACGAAATTATTCAGAAATATTTGTCGCCTTGAATGGAAAACTTTTTTAGTTAAAAAGATACCTTCACGAAATTGAGCATTTATTACTGTTTCAAACACTGCTATCAATCTTCGAAAAAAAATATACAGATATTTCCCCTCCTTATTTCTTCTAAAAAATTCACCTGTAAAGAGTAATATAACTTCGATGATGCCGATTATCGATTGATTATCGTGTTTGTGTTTTTGCTGCTACAAGTGTTTACATTGCTAAATTTTATCACACAAAATAGCCAAAAATAAATTAAAATTTTGTAGACAACTATACTTATTACATTCAAATTCTTTTTATTTAGGTAAAACATTGCATCGCTATAGCTAAAGGCGATATTGACAGCGCAACTCAAATTCTATTGCACCGCCAAGAGACTGGCCAAAGTTTGACCGACAAATCCATTACAATTACTGGACGTAAAAATATTGTTGTAGATGATGCCGAACTAAAAAATCGTATTATTGAGAGGTTCATTAACCGATACTTACATTTTTTGATGTAACATTTATAGTTAATAATCCTTTTTTTTTGCACCTACCTGCAGATACTCATACGTTGATAAAAATGCCACTCAGCGTGAATACAAGCCAATGGTACCGAAATTCGAACCAAAGAAATTGGTTCGCTACAGAGATAACAAGATTGTTTCTTTGAAAGGCGAACGCTATACTGAAGTTAAGCGCGACGAGGAAGCTGAGTTAAAAAAACCCAAAAAGCAACTTCAACCGTAACTAAAGTTGTTGAAATCCTGCTATAAGTATTTTATAAAAAAGTTAAAACTGCTAAAACAACAACAAAAGCAACCATTTGACGAATATAACAAGCAACCGCTTCAACATTTAAATCACCATTTGATATTAAAAAATTTGAAAGAAATGATCACTATTATATCACTGATAATTGCACATAAAAACGAATCCACACTACCAATAACACTCAAACAACTGCTTACGCTAAAAAGAACTAAACTATTGGTTGAAATACTTGAAATCTCAACGACGATTAATGAAACCCAACTAGTTACAAATTTTGCTGTCACAGTAACAATTCTAGTATTGAAGTCATTAATCTCCAAAAATACATTGCTCCCTAAGCGATTTACAATTTTCAAAGCGCTCGAACACCAATGTAAAACTAATTCCAATTCCGTATTCCCAAACGCTTATAATATGACAGCGAAGTGCATTTCAAATTTATACTCTAGATGTGAAACTTTTGTGATTTCCAATACTATTACTAGGATAATTGAATATTTATTGTACACTAAATCTCACGGCCATACGAATTTTGTGTATCGCTGCAGCTATTTATCCAATATTTTACAGCGTAAAAGTCAAAATAGTTTTATTATATTTATTTGTAATATTATGTTTATTTTTTATTTAATTTTTATTTTTTTTATTGAATTAGCGTGGAACGCTTTACAAACATCCTATAATAATTTAGTAATATTTATTGTTTTTGGCAAGCTACAACCAGAATATGAAATTAGTGATAATTTAAAATTTTTATGAGTTAATATTCTGTTTCGAGAAATAAGTTGATTTTACAACTGTCGATATTTGCTACTACTATTTAATAGGAAATTATGACAACGTCGGTACGCTGATGGTTTTGCATGGAGCTAGCATTGTGATAAATGCATAAGCGAATAAGAGCAAACCATCCGCAACAAAACTATATGTATGTATGTATGTATATGTAAAGCTCGAGTCTGCTAAACGAAATTTATGAATTTATTTCATACGCCTGCGGTGCCTAAGTTCAATTAAATTGCGGCTCTTAAGTGCAATAGCGTGCTACTAGTGTGCATAAGATACGAAATATATGATTTAAATAAAAATGGGTTAAAAAAAAAATAAATATAAATTATAACTTATATTTACAAAAGCATTTAAAATGTAATAGTTATTGTTAGCAGTTCACGAATTTCGAATTAACTTTTCGCTAGCTATTGTCTGAAGCCAACAATTAATTCCTTTTGCACTAATCGGTTGAGGCAGCACTCACATACATATGTAGGTAGAAAATACGACCGATAGACATGTCTTTAAGACGCACGAGCTCAAATAGACTTATGAATTTACCTATAGCTATGTTTATAATGCAAATATAGTAATTTTTCAAGATGATGTTTTATACTGTATTTTAATGTGTAATTGAATTGAATGATCGATGTTAACAAAATATGGATGAAAGTGCGAAGTGCGAAAAGAGTTAAAATATAAATACGATACGATTTTGAAAAAGACATGCCATACATATACATTAATTAACATTGGTAAATCTACGCTTAAACTCGTTTATTTATTTATTTATTTTATTGATATTTTTTTCTATGTTATTGCAAAAGAATTTTAACTCTTCATATAGAAGTTACTACTTTTGGAAAGGCGCTTGCTAAATAACACACAAAAAGCGTTATTTTTTCGAGCTAACACAGTTGACATTGTTCAAAATTGGAAATGTTACTCAGAGCCTTTCTGAATTTTAACCTATATATATAAATTGAACTGAATTGTTTGATTTGCACTTATTTTACTTTATACAGTTAAGAAAAAAAAAAAAACCGAACCTTAATACCGAAAACTAAAACTCAGTTATTGAAGCAAAGTTGCCAAAAAGTTGAAATAAAAATAATAAATGGAGTATTCAATAAATCCTAATAATACTAGTCTCACATCTAGGTGTAAATGAATGCGATTTGCCATTTTTGCTGGATGAATAAATGTTTGAATACGCTAAATTGGGAGCACATTGGTTTTACGACGCCGTATTTGCTACCATAATACACCAAAACACTTACATAAACACACATCAAACAGCAATACACAAGCATCTTGCATTTTGCAAGGTTATACGAAAATGTAAACTCACTAAAATAAAAAAAAAAAATGTTGTAACTTAGTGTGCTTCAATGTAATTCCTAGTAAGCTATATAAAATGCGAACTTACCTACATACATACAATACATACATTACATATTCAATGTTTAACTAAAATTCAAGTCAAGAAAAGTAGTGAAATGATCATAAAAAGTCCTAACTTAAGCATATTAAAGTGTATTAGAATGAAAAAGAGAAAGCGTTTAAACTTGCTGCTGTTGCTTATATAACACAGTTTGCACAAGTTATGTATCCCTTACTTTGATTACAACTTGCCTTTCGATTGTTGAAAATGAAATTTTAAAACATGTAAGTTTCGATTTATGTTTTATATAAATCAATTATTTTCAAAATATATTTAATAATAAGTTATATTGCCGCAAATATTTACAATATATTTTAAATTAGTTTTATTATACATTAAAATATAAATTAATTTTTTTCAGTTGTGTTGGGGTTGGTTGTAGTCGGAAACATGAAAAAATAACAATTTATTGTATTATTTTATTTTATAAAAGTAACAACAGAGCAACATAAAATAAGATTTCGACTTGAATTGACAGAAATTTGAAAAAAATAATTAGATAATTTTAAAACTATTGGCTGTTTGTGTTAATCCAGTTGCAACCGAAGCTCTTGGACCATCACTAATCCTTGGGAGATTCATCTTAAACGGACAAAAAATATTTAATTAATAGATAAACTAGTGGCTGATCGAAGTGTTTGCTTTTTTCATTTAACAAAGCGGCGACAAAACGGTTTTCAGATTTTCGGGAAGAAACCAAATAAAATATAAAAAAATCGAATTTTAAAGGAATATTCTTCGATCAGGCATTGGGTTTTATGTTTTCAAAAAGTATAATTATATTTCGCTGAAATCAATCAAGAGGTTTTCGAGTTACAGTGGTCACCAGTTAAAAAACATAGTTTTGAAAAAAAAACATTCATTTAAAGTTTTACACGAATGTTCCAGAGCGGCCGAAAATCCTTTGAAAATGATCGAACAATTCAAAAAAATTTTATCTTCAGATTTTCAGATATTTCTAAGATGTTGTACTTTAAGATAGTACAAAAAAAAAAATTTGTTTTTCAAAATTCTGACTACCCCTAACCGCTTATAGACACGAAATACTTTGAATTGTATGCAATTTACTAAAACTGAATAGTAAATCGATTTTGCTTTTATATTTTCTTGCTTAAATTGTCAGATGGCAAACACAATTAAAATAATTTGATAGCAATATTTAAAAAGTGCATAAATATTAATATACAAGTGTATGTTTTTTCAAATTTTGCATCACATGTTTATATTTATAAATTATTATTACTACTATAAATTGAAATTAAAAATAGTTACCTAAATTTAAAAAGCCGCAAACACCGCAAATACTTTGTTATATAACTCGCTGACGTATTATTTATTCCATTCATATAAACATTTGCATTTTTAGTTTAGTTATCAAATAAGTTTGTAGTTTCTTAAATTTTATTTTAATTAGCTTATAATTTTAATTTTACTTCCTTGTAACCTGAAACAAAGTCGCTGCTGAATCGAAGCCTTAATTTTACGTATATTCTTAATAAAATGCAAATGATAAACTAATTCTATCTTTGTACACCTTGCGGTCGTAATTGCCACTCCATGAATTCATAATTAATCAACTCACACATACCGATATTGTAATTCGAATTACATACATAATATATGTATATATATAATTATATATAATATTTATTTTAATCGTGCACAATTAGATTTCTAATTATATGAATTATTATTTTATAAAAGAAAAACTTACCGATCCAAACTTAGAAGGCTTAATTATAATTTAACTCTTATGCAATGCTCTTGCCTAAATTCACCAAATTGAATTGTCTTGACACTTTCTTTTATTTTTGTTCATATTTATGTTCAATACGTTTCTTTATATTTATTGTGATATTAGTATAATTTCATCACAACTGAAAATTAATACGCTATAACCTAAAACAGATATTAAAAGAAACATATGCATATGTACTATATGTATACTTACCATAGATATTATCCACTCGCTGAAGAGGCAGCAAAAAGTTTGAAAACGTTCATTAAAAAAAAATTAATTCACTATCAACACTGAAATGAATATGAAATATATAAAATGAAAAATTCCAAAAACTTTTTCAAAATCATAAAAAATAAAATACATTGCTTAGCAGATTGTAGTAACATTATGTAATCAAAGTTTGAATGTGTTTATTTATAAAGCATTTCAAATATACATATGTATATATAGTATTTTATTTGTTATGAATTTGGAAAAAATTACTTTTATTTCTATTTTTCGATTGAAAAACGGTAAGTTCCTGGAGTGGAAGTCTTCCTTTTCCGCCGGCGGGTACTGCGTAGAATACGCTGAGAGCCGGAGTGTTTTCATCCATTCGGACGACATGACCTAGTCAGCATAGCCGCTGTTGGTTGTTGTAGCGGCAGAATACTGGTGAGTTGACAGTCCTTGGTAAAAAAAAAATCTGGCTACGTTCCGGTTATGTATGCCCGACTATAATAGTTAAAATTTTATTAAAATGTGGAACATAAATATTTACATTTGTATTTTAGTTATTCCTTTTCGAAGATGCAGCCTTCATTAGCCCAGTTCGCCTAAACAATTTTGTTGGTAAAATATATTTATATATAAATAGCTGACTTACGTGAAGCAAGTTCATTAAGAAGTTAAGAATTTTATTACAAAGTAATGCCAATTCTTAAGCTAAAGTAATCCTTACTTGCTTTTTAAGGTATAATTTTTAATCCAAACTGATTTTACCTGATGACATTTACGTATGTTAATTCACAAACAATTGTGTAATTTATCATCATTTCCTGTATTACCCACTAGAGTACAGTGCCACATAACTGTGTCATTACCGTTGTTTATTGATGCATCGATCAAAAGATAGTGAAGCTTTTCGGTAATTAATTGTTATTTCAAAAATTTTATTTTTACAGTTATTAATTGCATTCGTTGTTAACTGTACATACATATACATATGTATACGTAAAAATAAACATTTGATTTATATGATCAAATACATATATGTATAAATAAATGCGTACTCACTATAAATCACTTCAAGATACTCCTATTAGTCTATATACCACTAATCCTAAAAATCTACAATGCGATAAATTGTAAGTTTATTCAAATCCTTAAGTGCTTATGGCTAATGTAAGAACGACAAATAAGTGTTTTTGCAGCATTTTTAGGCCATAAAAATTTCCAAATCGGACTTTATTATTAAAAATTTCGCATTTACAGGCTGGTATTTTTTTTTATTTTGCGAAGGCTTTGATCTCTTGTAGCAGCTGTCGTATATATCCATAGACATCAATGAAGGGAATAGGTAGATTATGTCTGTAATTTTACTTTTTAGTAACATATATGCTATAATAATTAATACTAATTTTTGAGTTGAAGACAATTATTTCGAGTTTTGAAAAAAACTGAAAAATTAACGTATTAATTAATAATTTTGGAAATGTTTGTCAGGTGTTAAAGCTTCACTGGACATACTTTCGGATCTGTACGCTTACGTCGAATCGACTGTTTTTGGAATGAAAGTCGGTTTTGTATTTTAATTGGGTCTTAAAAGCAAAAATATATAACTCATAGAGTGATATAAATTCTTCCGAAATTAACAAAGTTTTACAAAAAGAAAATTTTTATTTGAAAAAAATTGAACACATTAAAAGAATGTGTAAAGATCTCAGACGTGATCTAGTGACC